GGGGAGAGAGCGGGGTCGGGGAGTCAGTGTTCCTCACCTCACTGGAGCCCGGCAGTTGGTCCCCTATGTACTTGGCATTGAAGTGGTACCCGGACTGTCCGATGGAGCTCATGTGAAAATGGTGGCTGACCTGCAGCAGGGGGGAGAGAGAGGTTCTTGTCAGCGGCTCTTCCTCATAGATGTGAGCAATGACAGGTTCTCTTCAGTGAGTCTCAGACGTACCTGAAAATGGCTGCTGAGATATTTGTTAATGATCACCTTCACCCCCTCCATCTGCTGCGGGAAAACTTCTACAACCAGAAAGAACAAAATACAATAATGAGTGCTACATATTATACCCCCTCACAGAGATCACATGACTCCCCATGACAATGCCGGCTTTTCTCCAGTAGGACGGCGCCATCTCTGTTCAGGCATCATCCAGGGTCACCGTCTACTTCCTGGACCGAGATGTCGGTGTTCTATCAAAAGTTCCAACTCGTCGAGATCTCCAACCATCTGACTTCCAGTCAGAAGAGGTGTGGCCGAGAAGACTGTACTGTACGTGCTCCACCCGCGACATTTCCCTATACACATACTACACAGCAATAAAGTATTATAATGAACTCGGGTCAGACTAATCCAGCACGTTATTCATCTGAGTTACACAAGCGGCGACCATATTGGGTGGGGCAACTCAGATGAATAACGTGCTGGATTAGTCTGACCCGAGTTCATTATAATACTTTATTGCTGTGTAGTATGTGTATAGGGAAATGTCGCGGGTGGAGCACGTACAGTACAGTCTTCTCGGCCACACCTCTTCTGACTGGAAGTCAGATGGTTGGAGATCTCGACGAGTTGGAGCTTTCGACAGAACACCGGCTCAGAGATGGCTGTACCATCAATGTCTGGCACAGATCAGCCCCTGCTGCAGCCTCTCACCTAGCGACTGGATACAAAGTTACAATGTTGCAGTCTGATCACTGGGGGAGGGGAGACTGAGGAAACGCTTCCTCCTGCCTGCAGCATTCTGATCACTGGGGAGGGGAGACTGAGGAAACGCTTCCTCAAAGAGGGAGAGGAGACTGAGGAAATGCTTCCTCCTGCCTGCAGCAGACTGATCACTGGGGGAGGGGAGACTGAGGAAATGCTTCCTCCTGCCTGCAGCAGACTGATCACTGGGGGAGACTGAGGAAACGCTTCCTCCTGCCTGCAGCAGACTGATCACTGGGGGAGGGGAGACTGAGGAAACGCTTCCTCCTGACAGGTCCTCTTCGGGGCTCCCGTCACACCATAACTCACCTTTACAGCTTTTGTGCAGCTCATCGAAGCTCCCCGGGTTGGGCAGAAGTGTCGGCCGCCTCCGTCCCCTCCAGGAAGGCTGCGGGGGGTGGTGGGTGAAGAAGTTCCCCATGCCGGCTGCCGCCAATGACGTAAATCGGAGAGACCGCTGTCGCCGTTACTGAGCGGAGGGTTTAGGAGGGACATGGCGGCCTCCTGCGACATCCCGGCTGGACGGCCCCCATAATCCTTTGCGGGAACGCTGCGTGGGCTTCATCAGTAAAGCTGGAAGGGAGAAGAGACAGGAGGTCGGTTATGGAGCGCGGCGGCTTTCAGGAGCCGATCCTTCACACTATGGCGGCCATGTTTAAAGGGCCCTCAAGCTATATCTATGTATCCAGCTAGCCAGGCGGACATGTTTACTGGCCTGGAGGGGACAGGCGGGGAGACAATCATACAAGGAACAGGAAACATCTGCTGCTGCCCTGATTGGATCACAGACCTGCCCATCACCCCACCACTGTACAGAGGATCAGAAGAAGCCAATATGAAGACGGATAGAGGTACTTGTACTGAACTGAATTAGGAAATCCACCTTAGCTGGCTCCGAGCTGTACAGCAAAAGCACAGACAAGGGATTGTACCCTTACCCAGGGCCACTGTGCAAAGCCTGCGGAATCCCTCTGCACTAGGCATACAAATACCTGATGTCTGTCCATGGCATTGAAAAATTCGTATTTATTCAGATTTTGTAATTCAATAAAGAAAAAGAGCAAAACAGACATGTCAGCATTGTGAGGAATGTGCTGTGGCCCCTTCCTGTTCCTGGCTGAGGGGACACACAAGGCTGAGCTCTCACCTCGCTCTATCCGGCAATCTCCATCCCCGGACTGCGCCTTTCCTCCCATTCATGTCAGCTAGAGATGGGCGGCCATTGTTACTGCTGGCAGACTCCGCCTGGCGTGACGTCGGCAAAGCATGCAGCGCTGAGGGAGGCGGCCATGTTGGATGTGGGCAGCGGAGGAGGTGGCGATAGAGGAGGCGTGGCTACGGCTTTTGGTCACCAATAGGAAAACGTTTCGTCACATGACCTAATTGTACTACAGAGGGGCGGGGCGGAAACTGAAAGCGAGCGTCTATCATCCAGGAGGACCTGTCACAGAGCGATAAAGGGGACCTGTCACAGAGCGATAAAGGGGACCTGTCATAGAGCGATAAAGGGGACCTGTCACAGATCAATAAAGGGGACCTGTCATGGACCGATAAAGTATTATGAGAGGTTTACTAATAGCAGACTATGAGCCAGGCACTGTTTACAACACGTAATGTAAGGCAGGTCCTCTTTATTATATAAATAAGGACAGGTTCTCTTTACTAATACGAGCTGATATATGACAGGTCCTCTTTATTATATAACTAGTGACAGGTCCTCTTTATTATATAAATAATGACAGGTCCTCTTTAGTAATCTATGACTGAGATATGACAGATCCTCTTTATTATATAACTAGTGACAGGTCCTCTTTATTACATAAATAATGACAGGTCCTCTTTATTATATAACTAGTGACAGGTTCTCTTTATTATATAAATAATGACAGGTCCTCTTTAGTAATCTATGACTGATATATGACAGGTCCTCTTTATTATATAACTAATGACACGTACTCTTTAGTAATCTATGACTGAGATATGACAGGTCCTCTTTATTATATAAATAGTGATAGGTCCTCTTTAGTAATCTATGAATGATATATGACAGGTCCTCTTTATTATATAACTAATGACACGTACTCTTTAGTAATCTATGACTGATATAAGGCAGGTCCTCTTTATTATATAAATAGTGACAGGTCCTCTTTAGTAATCTATGACTGAGATATGACAGGTCCTCTTTATTATATAAATAGTGGTAGGTCCTCTTTAGCATTCTATGACTGTTATAAGACAGGTCCTCTTTAGTATTATGCAGCATTCCCTCCGCACAGTGCGAAGACAGGTCCTCTTCCGGGAAATAGGGGCGTGTCCTGTGACGTAGAATGGCACGGCTCGGTCACGTGCACAGCAGGGAGGTTCTCTGGCTCTTTAAGGTAATCCCCGCCCTCCTCGTGACGTCATGTTAAGCGACGATTGGCTGCGCGTGCCAGGCCCCTGACTTCCGGGGTTGTTAGGGCAAGCGATGGTGTAGGTGTCCCCGGGAGGAGAAGATCAGGACAGAGCGGGGACCGGCGGGCTGCGGGAGAGGTGAGTGTGGGGGGATGAAAAAAACCGACCTCACAACACTGTATGTGTACAGAGAGAACCGACCTGTGTCCGATATGGAGACACACACTGACCTCTGTACAGCCACCATTCATCTATGTATCACCGACATTTACTGCAGCGCTGTACAACACTGAGCCGGTCACATCAGTCTCTGTACAGAGGAGCTTACAACACAGAACACTGACCCCTCTCTCCCTCTCAGGTCATGCCTCCTCTCCCCGGTGAAGCACACAGGAAGTTGCGGCTCTGCTGATGGAGATCTGTGAACGGTCGGCTCCCTGAGGAGGTAACTGACTACATCTGTATTATACACCTCCCCCGCCATTGTCCCCGACACAGGATCTGAATGCAGCCTATTAACATATAATAGATCGGCTTTAGCTCGGTGTGACCCATTGTGTCAGCCGGCATTGTTTCATAATCAACGTCTCGTACAGATAAGGTTGGCCTGATAGGGACACCGTGGTTGTTGGCCTTTGTAGGGAAAGGGGATGGTTGCTTTTGGCCCTTGTGGGAGGGTGGGTGGCTGGCTGGCTGTTGGCCCTTGTAGGGACACCATGACTTTTTCTCTTAATTATTCACTGGATATAAGGTTAGTCCTTTTTTTTGGGTGGAGTTCAAGGTTGTTCCGGGGTCAGCGAACTCTCAGAAGGTTTCTGGTTTATATATTTATGGCAGTGTGAGCTTCTCTCCGGTATCAGGCGGCATCATATGAGTCACCTCCGCTATGACCGCACTCAGTGACTTGCCCCTGCATTAATTAGTTCTGTAAATGCCCCAAAACTGGTCCTGGCCGGAGTCAGGGAATTGATGGGTTTCCAGTGCGATTTAAGGAGTTACACCTGACTTCCAAGTGTTCCTATAAACAGGACCTGTCATGGCGGCTTCCATAGCGCTGGTGGTTGCCATTGCTGGATCAGGGGAGCGGTGCTAGTTCCCCGGCAGGGTGCTTCACTTGTGTGACCAGCATCGCTTCTGGGCAATGTGGGCCATTGATGTGCCAGGTCACAGCTGTCGTAACCCGTCCCTTATGTAACAATTTTTTCCCATCCATTGATGGACAAAGGAAGTCAATAGTGTCGGATTACACTGCCATCTACAGGATTTTGTGTTTCCTCC